CAGTGGCGTACCGTAGTGGGGGCGGCAGGGGCGGCCCGCCCCGGGCGGCACTTTTTAAAGGGCGGCAAAATTTCACAATAAATAATAATAATAGCTTGTAAAAATTTGAAACATCCTAATCTATACTTGCATCGCGCCTACGATAGTGCTATCGTCCGGACAGTCTGGGAATCGGCTCGCCGTCTGGGTGAACTAGTAATTTTTTCATCCGAGGAAATCCTGCAAAACCTGTTGACCATTTTTTTTTTGCTTGTACGATTCATTCGCGTTCATATACACCACTAATATCCAATAGAACTATTTTAAACAGGTCGCTGCACTACCACCGAATTTTTCATCGCATGTTCTGTGACAAAACTGTATTTTGGGTCTTTTAAATTGAAATACCTAAAAAGGGGGCGAAATTTTCCTCCGCCCCGGGCGGCTGACACCCACGGTACGCCACTGATTGCCAGGCTTGATGAAGCAATTTATCATATCTACCATTTAAAATTATCATATCTGAGCTAAAATTCTTGTAACTATACCAACACACATATATCAATCTTGGTTCTTTCCCAATTGAATGAATCTGAGAACGTCATTTTGGTTCATTTCAGTTGGTTCACATACAATATCATCAGCATATAGGAACTATATGTTAGTATTAGACTCATTAAATGAAGTGTTTATGTGATAACAACAAATTCTTTAAATGCTGACAAAAGGGAAAAGTAGCCTGTCCACTGATGGAGCATACAAAATGCTGATAGTTGGTAACTATTCAATTTATATGTGGAGATTTGTTAATTTTTGAATAAAGTATTTACGTGTAGCCCAAAACTAAAGCCAGTAAATTTAAGTTTTTATTATCCATGCTTACAGTTTTAATTAACAGTTGTCACATGATTGAAATGGGAACAAACATTTCTAGCTAATAGTATAATTATCCTAAAATAAAATAATTATAGAAACAAAAACTTAAAAATTGTTTTAAGCAAATTTTTACTGATGAATCACATAAAAAGTTATAGAATGAATGCTTTATTATCAGATTGTTGTATAATGTCAGTCTTTCATTTTTCTCAAAGATATAGTATAGTAGAATCCCACAAACTCAATTTAATATGGACTGAGAAGGTGATAAGTTACTAAAATGACAATGATGATGCTAATCTAAATAGTGGAATTTTCATAGAAATATTATATGTACTGTAATAAATTCATATATGTACTATGTACCGATAATGACTATTTCTATTTGAAATTAAATTTTAATTTAAAAAATATTGGTTATTCAGTGGCTACTTTTGAGTTAGTGACATTTGCATCATCAGCATTTTGAAATAACACCTTGGAAAAAGGGTTATATTCTTTGTTAACATGTGGAATTACAGTAGAGCATTGATTATCTGAATGTCGATCAACCGAAAGCTTTTCAGTCGGCAAATTTAAATTTCCACTAGTGCTGTGGCACTGCAATCTTTGGCTATGTCTTGGGCTACCACAATATTATTTTTGTCGGTACGTGTGTTTTAGCTGGCAGCACAGGCGTGACCACGAGAGGGTACTTAAGGACATGCCAGAATTTGAACGAATTTCAACATGGGATAGGTTAATATATTTTTTAGTACATAATCGGTTATCCGAAAAATCAATTTTCCGAATAACCCAGTCCCCAATTGATTCGGATAATCGATGCTCTACTGTAATGTTATTATCAAGTGTCGCTAGTGAAGAACACTAACTTATTTGATTGCAGTGTTAAGTTATAGAAGTAAAAAATTAGACTGCATGTAAAAATAAATTTAAATAACTCACGCCAATATTTGTCTAGCTTCTGAGTACAAATTCACTGAGTACGGCGTTAATAAACTGTTGTTCTTTTCGCCTGATGACGACGGTTATACAAACGTCGAAAGTACTTGTGTGAATACTAAATGAAGTTTATTAACGCCGTACTCAGTGAATTTGTACTCAGAAGCTAGACTGCATGTATATATATTTTTTTATTTGGATGACACAGAGTTTTATGGAATGTCAAATTATTGAGAGTCAAGTTTCCAGAATTCTACTCTAATACATTACAGTATATATAAAAATGTTCTACAAACAACAATTAACACCTCAATACTACTTCCAGCAGTCAAAAGATTTTAATAATCTAACGTTTTCGATAAAAATGTTCTATAAATCACATTGAAAATAAAAAAACAGTAATTATGATAAGAAAGTTTATAGTTAATGAAGCTCAATGCAAAATACTTTTTAATAATCTAGAATATCTTAATATTAATTCTAGAATATCTTAATTATTAATAGTTCAAATAAACAGTCCTTCAAATTAACATTAATAGCAAGTTTTTTGATTAAAAAATAATCTTACTATTAATAATTAAAAGAAAAGAACAATGATGAAAATCATTATGTAATTTTTGTTACTTATCTTAAATCAACCAACAAATTTCATACATCTTTAATTCACCATAGTGTGACTATTTATGGTGAATTAAAGATTTCAAGGCTAACTGTGACTTGCAAAATAAGATATAATAAAGTCTAAAATTTTCAAGTGACATTCAGTTACACTTACAGGAAAAAAACTAAAAATTATCTGAAAATTTTGGAATTTAATTAAATATTAAGCTATAGTTTGTGAACATGAGGTCAAAAATGTTTGTTTTCTTCTGGAAGCTAAAATTTGTTTGTAAAACAGTGCTAGTTTTCTCCAAATTTATTGGAAAACTAGCTGTTACCCGCAGCTTCACCCATGTGGAATTTGCAATTTGATATAAATAATCCTCCCTAAATAATTCACTAAGATTCTCAACATTAGTTGTTACTATAAAAAACAAAAAATTGCATCTAAAATAGTACAGTAGAAGACGTTCTTTGGGTTAAGCCTTAATCCTCTCCCTCTCCCTCATGGGGAAATTTCAAAAAATCCCTTCTTAGTGTGCATTTTCATGACATACCCTAACTGTATACCAAATTTCACCTACTTAGGTTCAGCGGTTTGCTCTAGGCAACGATGAATCAGTCAGGACATGTAATTTTATATATCACAAGTTCAGACATGTGCACTGTGTATCTCGCTAACCATGCCATGAGGTTACCTATCTCATATACGTACGTGTCTTGTCCCTTGCCACCCGCTGACACCAAAAATATAATGTTTACCTAGATGACATCTTTTAATTTATATGAATGTTTAACAAAATAATATACAGCCTATGTCCACCCTGAAGGTCCATTCTAAATAGTGGTGAAAGAATTTTTGAAATTGGATGAATAGCTTTGGAGATTACCTCCTACATCCAAACTTACAAACTTTACCTCTTTATAATATTAGTATAGATATATAAGATTAGTTGAACCTATTTTATGTCCACAAAGTTTACATCTAATGACAACAGATTGAAGATTTTGCATTAATGCACTCACAATCATCAGTATTTTTAAACTCTAACTATCCAAACAATCGAATACCAATTTTTTTCAAAATTTGCCAAAAAGTGCCAAATTGGCGTGCAAAAGCCTATTTTTGGCCCAAAATATTGTATTAATTAACTCTTAAATTACAGAGATTGAATAGAATTGGGGATAAATGTTAGGGTACAACTATGCAGACACAAGCGAGCAACTTTTCTGAATGCGCGAGAGTATGTGGTGAGAAGAGGTGAAGACATTTCACACTCTGTTTCTCGCTCTTGTCTGTGTGGTTGTAATAAACAAGAGCATGAAACATCATCACCTCATCTTGCCACATATTCTCGCTCGCTCACGTCACACTATTTTCTGTCATGAAGATGCAACTTCATTATCACTTCAGCAATTAAATATCCAACAAAATATTACATGATCCAACTTCACAACTTCTAATTCATACAAAATATCGCAATATTTCATAATAATCATCCTATTAGAAGAAAATTTATTTAGAAAATAATCAGGAATTTCAAACAAATTTATTCCATTCAGATCAAAATATTCTGAAATAATTTGAATATATTTTTATTAAACAATCTCATTAATTAAATAATTAGAGGGGTTTTATTTATTTATTTTACATTGCTTTGATCAGCTGTTTGGAAATGAATGAAAAATTTATTTTATTCAGTTTTGCACCATATTTTTATTTAATTGTAACACAGGAAAATATTAATGAACTAAATTATGAACTTTTAAGTTAAATGTATTGAGAATTAAAAGCCCAAACTGATGTTTATGCGGTCAAACTTTACCTACGTGCACCGTCATGGCCGCACAGTGAGGACACACGTTCTAATCTAACCTAACCTATTCTAATAATTAACCAAATTGGTTATTTATACTAATGCTATGCGTTTAAGCTAATGTTTACCAAATTAAAAGCAGACTATTTAAATAGAGATAGCGCTGTTAAGTATACAATAAATGTACACTACAAAATACTATCAATAATTTCATTATAAATTACTCACTTTAATCGTAATTTATTTTCAACAACCAAAAACTAAATAATCAATTTCGTATGCTCCTTTGAACACACATGTTTGATTACAAGAATGACGAAATGACGATAATTTCTCCGCTAGAGGCGCCCTACGAAAGTTTTTTAACTGATACCGTATTTTCCTATTTTTTAATATCTAAATGGAATATATCTTATCAGTGAACTTTAGATATAATCCAATCAGATTATATAATAATTTATAAATTAGAAAATTCTAGAAATGCAAACTTGGAACGTGATTAGTCAATATAGTGCTTTAGTCATTTCTGTGTTCCAATTTTCAAGTAAAAGAAAACATTAAACAAGTATTCAAAAGTATTTTTATAGTGCTTATTTATAGTAAAATAAATTTTTGTTACAAATTACGAAAAACCATCCATAAATTATTTATTCGGATTTAACATTTAGACAAAATTAAAACAAAAAATAGTAATTATATGGCCGAACGCAGGGCCGCCGTTAGCGACAGCGATGCCAGGGGCAATCATGAAATGCGGACTTCAAAAATTATACTTTATATAATTTTTACCACAATTTTATTTAAAAACAAAATAAATTTAAAGTAAAGACATTTTTTCAATCTAAGTATACAAAAAATACGAAAATAAAAGTATATAAATTATATAATTTAAACTACAGTATTACGAAGTTGTAAAGAATTCGGAGACAAAAATTAAGAAAAATACAAGAACTATATTATAAAATTTAATCTCCGTGTTTCGATTTCAGTGAAATCCTTAATTATATCGGCAAAATCTAATTTTTCACATATTTTGTGTTATATTCGGGAAGGGATCGCATAGTTAAGCAGCTTATTTAAACATTGTAACGGAGTCACATTGGTTGTATCATTGCTGCGTAGCATACAACACAAAACATCAGTGGCGTAGCGTAGGGTTTCAAAGGGGGCACCCTCCCCGGGCTTTGCTAGGGAAGGCAAAATCCCTATTGTTGAATTAATATTAAGGAGACTAGAGGAGATCCAACTCCGCAAAAACATAGAAGCTGAAAACGTCCGGCTCAAAGACATAAATCCCAATGCCGTACCTTGCTCAAACCATTCCTTAAACCTGATCTGTTTGCATGCTGCTTCAATTGAAACGAATTCCGTAACTTTCTTCGGTAATTTGAACGTTGTTATGCGTTCTTTTCCGCGTCCATACACCGTGGGAAGTTCTAATTGCTGCTACAGGAAAGACATTAAAAAGGATTCAGGATACAGGATGGAGAGCAAGAGCTGAAGCAGTAGATATGTTATGGAACCATTATAAGGTTATTTTGACAACTCTAGAAAAACTGAGAGAGGCAGACGAAAGCTTAAACACGCAGGAGCTTTGCTAGTCACAATGTAATCATTTTCTTTTATATGTTTTTTGGGCCTCTGGAAACCTGTACTGCATGAGGTCAATGACGCCCAAAATTATTTACAAACAGAGGAACTCAACGTGTATCAGTATACTCAAAAAATAAGTGCTTTGCAGACGCTATTCACAGAAAAACGAGATGAATCGGTAGAGGGTGCTTTGAGTTATGCTAAAAGTTTGTGTGAAGACCTAGGCATTTTAATGGAATCTCTAGACGAATAACGACGAAGCAAATTTTGGGCGACGGAAGTAAAGATGAAGCCTTGTCCCACGAAAACGAGTTGAGAAGAAAGTTGTTTTCTTCGTTAGATATGGTAACTGTAGAAATTCATGAGATGTTTCAACAGCTACTGAATTTGGCGAACAAATCTTTCTTACGCCAGCTAAACTACTGGATATTGACGACCACGACTTCAATTTAGAACATGTATCTCATGACATTTACAAAGAAGAGTTCAAGCTCGAACGCGTGCGGCTAAGGATTTTTGTTGCTGCCACGGTCAATAAAAATGAATTAATGAATTCAAGCCCACTTGATTTATTACAATTTATTATGCAATTTAAGCTGAAAGTTACGCTGCCTAATATAATAATATTGCTTCGAATATATACAATTGCCATAAGCAATGTCAGCTGTGAGAGAAGCTTCTCTAAACTGAAGTTAATTAATCAAAAATTATTTATGATCGACAATGAGTACACTAAGATTGACTAATCTGCCTATTTTGGCTATTGAGCAAGAAACGACTGATGTAATCGATATTGATAGTGCTATTAAAGATTTTGTTATAAGGAAAAGTAGGGAAGAAAAATTTTAGATTAAATCTTTCTTCTGTAGAGTTTATTCTTCCATCTAATATTGCTAAAAAATAGTTCCCGAAGAAATTTGTTTCGGGAGTATTATACGAGTACATGTATTTGTTTCTTTATAATCGAATAAACGTTTTCATTTTCTTGATCTGACTTCTTCAAATACAACAGGAATGTTACATTTTCTACGAATTTTATTTGCTATTAATTTCGATTTTAAGAAACCATTTTATCTAAAATCTTTTAACTAACGTGACAATCTTTTTAATAGCGACATCACTATACTTGAATCGGTGTCTAAATAAGGTACTGATGGTTATTGTGGTTCAATGTATTTCCTATGAAATGCTTCGTATCTGCCGAACTTATCACTCAGTCTATGACAATGGATTTGAATCTCAAAGGTGACACCCGGACTTAACTAGTATCATCATCGGACGTGACATTCTAATGGTGTTTTTTCCTGAATAGGTGTTATGAGGATTGAGATTCTGGTTAAGCTAGGTTAGGTCAGGTCGGTTTTTCGCTCCTCTCGTTACGGTGTTCGGGAAGAATGACGGATCATTCTTCTTGTGTGATAAAGATAATTGTATAAGTTTACATTAGATAGTAAATGAATTTCTCGCTTTCTTATTTTCTTTGTTTTTTGTAGGAACATTTGAGAGGGAGATTTTTCTCTCCCTCTCTCCCATTTATCGTACAAGTCAATTTTTCCGAAATTTCAGAGGATAAGAGCTCTTTCATTTCATTTTTACATCCTATGTTCCTATCATAATTTATTATTTTTATTATGTTTTTTAGACACTCCGAAAGATAAAGTTCTAGAAACATTTACACTTAGACATTACATCGATAAATACTTCAAAAAGATTAATTTTAAAAAATAACGGCAAATTTCTAAATCGTCCACTAGAGTGCACTGTTTGTTTTGATTTGAATTTTCTGGATCAACGTGACTGGTAATTTTACCAGTCACGTTGATCCAGCTTTTACGACGAAATCCGATCTTAAAAAGTTATTTAATAGACAAATATTTTATTGTTTACAATTCAAAAATTTGAAGAAATTATATTATTTTAAAATTTTTTTTATCTTCTACAAATAAGGATGCAGAAGCATAATTTAAGCTCAATTCAAGTTCTGAATGATACGTTTGGAACCTTAACAGAGCTGTAGAACATACTCATACGAACAAAAAAGTCAAAGGAACCATATCTCTACGAGCGACCCTTAGCGAGATATAGCCCATCCAAAAAATTACTCTATGTATGCTTTTGTTTTCCTATCTCCAAACACCCCCACGGATGTGTGTGTTTGCCTGTATTTTGCTTTATATCTAAGGACACCAGTGGCGTGCCGTGACATTTGATGATAGGGAAGCTGTGTTTCTATAAGAAGCCGACTTCCAGGGGCAATCAGTTAATTCTTTAAATGTATTTTTAAAGAAAGAATTAACTGGTAATTTTAAATAAACTATACTTAATAAATAATACTTAATAAATAAACAAGTTCAATATAATTACCTCTGTTATTAGATCCAATATATTCCATATGCCCTCTAAATGCCAATTCTTGCTTTGATAAAAACATATAACATCTATTTATTTAGATATAATATATCTATTACCCATAATTATCTCGTTACAATTTTCAATATTTATTTTATATTATTTACTAATGTTAAATTCTATTCCGCTTCGATTTCCAAATTGCTTCAAATACGAAAGAATCGACGATTTTTCGTGTCTTTTGCCAGCTAAATTGTCAAAGACATTCTTATTCCACACACTAATTTCACTCTGTAAATGCATTTTTATGCATTTACAGAGCCATTTTATCGTGAAAATATCGAACAAATTTTTTTATTGAAGCGTTTATATTTAACTTAGGCATTGGCCTTTCTCTTTTAATAATGTTTTCTTTTTCATTATATGATCTCGAGCCAAAACTTTTTTAAAATAAATTTTCAATATCGCAATTACATTCCGAATCGCTAGCCACGATATAAGGGCTAAAATTAAAAATAAAATTATAAAAACTTACTTGGTGAAATAAAATGTGTGGTGGATATACATACCTGGTACAAAACATTCTTCAATTGTATGAATATACTTTTAAAGAAAATTATAATTAAATATAACTTTGTAATGAAACGTACATGAAAATAACATAAAATATTCTTTACTCTTTAAATCTTAACCACTTAGTCAAATAGCTCCCTACGAGTGGAATCAGAGACGGTCCTGCTAGGTGTGCGGTGTGTACTGTACATGCACGCGGGCTGCCAAATCCCGAGGGTGCCGATACCCTCGGGATTTGGCAATGTCAAATGCTTCTTTTGTCGCATCACTAATATACCTCAAAAGACGCGACAGGGTTCTTGTAAATTTTAAACGTTTCTCACCATAGCTGTAAAAGTCTAAATATGTTAAACTTAATAGATTGTCCGTCGTTTGTTTTCTAACTAATTCGTTTTAGGACCAGGTGTTGTCCACGGAAATTTCCAAAATTTACAACTTTTCGGTCACTCTCGTTGAACTGGAAAAATGTCTGTCTTTATTACATCTAATATTTCGAAGAAATCAGTCCCCACTGTACTCGGCTAGAGATTGGTTCGGTTAAGCTTTTGTTTAAGTAAAATTTCGGCTCTTTCATCAGGGTTTTGTTTATGTCCCCAATTTCCTAATCGATTAATTATTTAACTACTTCTTAAGTAGAAATAAATCAAAACCAGTTACTTTGTACTGGAATATTTGTAGTCTCGGGAAAAAGTGGAAAGACAAACGGATACATAAATCGTAAATTTAGGGAAAATAAATTCTAGAGCTTTTTCTGTACCTGGTGTGACTCTCTTTCATTAAATTTAGTTGTAAATTATGGTACCAAAGTAACAATTAATTTTTTAACATTATACAAGAATTGTACACGTTTTTTTCTACATCCCCTTAAAGATGGGACATACGAAATCGTAATATCACTGGTTTAACATCGAAATCCGTAAGTAATATAAAATCGGAGAGCGGAATAAATATATCAAATATTTTAACGGATTTTTTAATTCTCCTGTCACTATACAGAAAACTATCATAAAAACATACCAGTACGTAAATTCTTATCGGTTGGGTTAAGTTATAAATCTACTCGTGATTCACGTAATCGGGCGAGGGCGGCCAAATATCTAGCAGGCGGGCGGCTAACGGCCCGGAACCGGTCCTGGATAGAATTGGATGCGTTATACGTGCAGCAGCCACCCGAGGTTGTAGGCTTCCACCAGCTAAACCGGGTGAGGTTGGTGCTCTGTAAAACGCATGCGCGAATCTGGCTTTTTGGATGCTGACAATACAGCGCTTCCACTCCGCCACTAATATTCGAATATACAATAACGATCTTATCTTTTTTTTTACGTGTAGTATAGAAATTTGTAATAAGATACATAATGCGGCTATAATAAAATATTGTGCGATTATTTTCATATAATTAAAATTAATATGTATTTATTTTTTAGAAAATACAAGGGAAGCGGCGCATCCACCACTTCTAATGACGGCACGCCACTGCCTGAGGACACCGTGGACCAGAAATTTTGAAATTAGGAATATATTTGGGGCATTGATGCTATTACATTTTGGAGATTACAAATCTAAGGATGGGGAGGGGATCATGTCTAAAACAGGGCTGCCAGAACTGATACTTTAGTGCCAAAGTTGGTACTTTTGCTTAAAACATAGATGTTTTGGTACTGTTGGTACTATTTTAGCAAAAATATTTAATTTTAAATTATCCTGTATCATTTATTTATTGGCATTTATTAATAACGTAACGTTTTCTAAATCATGAATTCTAACAACCGAATCTGACAATCCTAACAAACAAATTTGGTAATGTCGCAACTTTCATAATGAAGTAATCTCGTTCAGCAGTTCAGTCAGTCTGAGCCATTAGAGAGGTTGCGGCCGACGTTTTCATCGAGAAAACGTGTACGTCGGACGTTCAGCGCCGAATTACAGGAATTCGGCGCTGAACGTCCGACGTAAGCCTGTAAGCCTGGAAGTTTGACAATAGCATTTGGAACGTCAGTGGAATCATGCTCGACATACCAACGCCATTGTCAAACTTGTAGGCTTACAGGAAGGTAGCGCTGAACGTCCGACATACACGTTTTCGAGATGGAAACGTCGGCTATAACCTCTCTTTAGTGATCAGTCGTGGACTCGTGTAACTTGTGTTTTAAGGCTTTGTGAATCGTAATTTTTTCCGTTTGTGCGAGTCATAGCCCTTAATTTCGTCTCTGTTTCGAAATTACTCAAAATCAAAAAACAAAATAATTAGACCAAAGCATTGTCGTCAAATTTTTTTCACAGAAATTGATTAAAGTTGCATATGATTGTCTCCTGTACGAACACACCGCACACCGAATGCGAATGCAGGTTTTAAACGATGTTTTTAAGCTTTGTCCGGAGAAAAATCCATTCTTGAATAAGAGATTCCGATCTCCTGCAGTGTTCACGTTAAAGACTGACAATCAGTTCGGGAAAGTTTCACGTAGGGCAACAAAACCTTGCCATTATCGAAAAAACGTTCCAAAAACAAGTCTTATAGTTTTGACACCCATTGCAAAATCGTGGAGCTTAGTGAGGCCGTTAAGCATGGTATCGTTACTGCTTGCAAACTTGTCATTTCCACAATATTCATGGGGTTGTACTGGGTTTTCGCTCTCTCCAGATCCCACGAAAATCATTCTGTAGACTGTACCGTGATTCGTCAGTGAACATTACATTGCCCCATTCGTTTAAAACCCCAATGTCAATGTTCTTGATACCATCGCGCAAGGGTCATTAGAATATAACGTACTGGGCATCTGGCGAAAAAGACTACAGTATTCGCCTGAACCTTCCTGTAGACAGTTGGTCGTGTACGCTTTCTGCAGAGAGCTGCAATTTTCTGTTAAGACACGCTATCAAATGCCGGTCCTATTAACATGAGCGAATCCGCAACCAGTGTTTATTGGTTTCATCCACTCGGTCACTGGTGAGTTCTGTACATAACAATGAAGAAGTCGAATAACGAAGTGATTAGTCACGTTTGCTTAACGTTGCCTTTGCACATAGGACTTTTTTGTCCGGTATTTTTGGCTTAAGAAGGAAAGGAACGTATAGATAAGCGATATTATATATTTTCTAAATGGCTTCAATCGACTTTATGTTGTTCTCAAAGTGTAATCATCACTGAAAGATATTTTGACAAATAATATGACATTAAAACAGATGGGTAAGATGAAGTTAAAGAAAATAATTTTATAGATGGATAAAGGAATCATTTTAAAGAAAAACTGATCCTTTTATCAATGTTACAATTTGAAAAATCGGTAGAAATATCAATTTCTTTAAAGATCACACTGTGCTTCTAGATTATTTTAAGAGCAAAAGAAGTTTATAGTTATTTTTATCTGTATCATGAATTTATAGAATTCGGTAGGGACTACTAAGATAACAATTAAGGTAATTTTCATAACGTTTTCTTTTAATGCTATTTTCTAAAATAGTACAGTAGAAGNAAATTATAAATTTATTTTGGAAAAAAATACAATTTTCACATAAACATGTTTTTAATTTTATTAATATTTTAATAAAATTTTAATAATAATTATAAATTGAGATCATTTGATGATGAACAATGTTTTTATATCGTTGATGGACATACATCGAGAATTTATTTACATATGCATTTATGTTGTCATATTGATAATTTAATTAATTAATTATTATTGTTTTATTTCAGTGAATTTTAACATTAATTTAACTAACAAACATTATAGAAAAATTATAAACAATTTTTGAAAAATTTTATAAATTGTTTTAACTAGAAAATTCAATTTTAAAATTGTTTGAAAATAAAATTAAAATTAAAGCAAAATTTAAAAATTTGGCATATTTTAACATCTGTAAAGATTTCTAAGTTTATTTTAAGAGCTTGAGATGAATTAAGTTTGAATATAACTAAATATTTTTGTCACGAAATGCAAATGATTCGTGAAAAAGAAATATTCGAACGACTAATTAACGAGACAAAAATTATCTTTTATTTTTATTCAAATTGTAAAAAATTCGTTGTTCAAATTAAATAATATTTTAATGTTGATAAGCCAAGACGAAGAAATAACAGGTCAATCACGACGTTAACCTTATTCGGGTTTTCATTTCTTCGTGGCACTGGAAAAAAGAATTTTTTTCTTGCATGCCAAGTGGCAAACAGGAATGTAAAGGCCACAACACCAAAATTGATGATCATAAGGTTTTTATTATACATTCAAATATATAACTTTATAACGATGAAGATTTGAGTTTAAAAAGACCTTTGAAGAATTACAAAAATTAATTCTTATTTGGAAGAATAGAGAATGAGTCTTTTTTTTTCCATTGAGCTCGAATGCCTTCGGAAGATCATTTATTTTATTTTTATTTTATTTCTCATCTGGACGTGGCAATTTTCTGAATAATAATAACAAAAGATGGAAGTTCTGCTTCGATTTCTTTCGAGATCTTCCGGACTATTTGATAACTATGAAATTCTTATAACTCGCGGGATTTTTTTTTCTCAGGATAATTGTTAAGGCCATTTGAAAATATAAATTATCCTGAAAAGCAAAGTATTAGAGAAATAATCTTCGACGATAGAATCGATGGCAAATAATGTACCTGTTATATTCTTGAAGAAGGAAGACGAAATTTCATTTAAAGACAGGAGCTATAAAGACCATGCATCACTTTTCATCAGCCGCATATCTTGGTCCCTGCTCGAGTTCCTCTTTCGCTATTCCATAGATTCAAAATATAAATTCTTGATATTTATTATACACAATGATATTTACTCACCTATTCTTTATGGATAAGATTGTTTATATAGAAAATTTTACAAGGGAGTTCACAAATGGCTCGTATCGTAGCCATTAAGAGGAAATTTTTATCAAAATCTGAAATCTTTATCCTCGTTAATTTATATCGTCCAAACTTGTACTTTTTCCGCTACAACACACCAATTAGAATGATCGTAATAGGAAGAAATGATGTGAAGATTTTCTACGTGAGTTTCAATCAAATGATCTAATTCACCCTCTCGAAAAACATGATAATACCGATGATAAGTCATAGGACCACCGGCATCGTTGCCTGCCAAACTTTCCTGCGATGTTGATAAAGATTGAGAAGTGTTTCTACTCAAGCTGCTTGGTTGATCTGTGTGATCACAATTTCGGGAAGTCCATTCCATTACGTCATACATCTCATCTGTGTTAGCAACAGGGAGGATTTCTAGCTTTCCGAAGCTGTTTTCTGGAATTGAAGTAAAGCTTGTCTGCATTAAATCAACATCAGATTCATCTGTTGATCTACTATGTCGTTTTTCTCTCTGACCTTCCGATAACTGGCACAAATGATTAGATGCGGGGAGATCTTCTTCGGTGTCTTTTGATCCAATAGAAGCTGTCACACTGGAAACATCGTGCTCAAACGATTCTTCTGGATTTTGTTCTTCTGACGATTCTCGGACAAAAGAGCTTTTTCTGTCGGATGAATCAGAACGATTAAAGATGTCGTGTGTGGGAAGAGAATAATCATGATCCGAGCTGTCTTCGTGAATGATTTCTTTAGTATTTCTAGAATGCTCGGAAGATGATCTTCTTTCATCGTCTGCAAAATGCTGGCGGTGCAAGTCAGAGCAATCTTCCGAAGTCGTAGAAGATTGACGTGAAAATTGTATACTGGATGTATCATTTTCTTCCGAAGACTGCTGTTTCAAAGATTTTCGCACTGAAAGATCTTTTTCTTCTTCTTCATGCGTACTATTTTCTATTAACTTCTGATGAATGGGCATGTCGTCATCTGATTCTTCATGCCTTTCATCATTACTTTCTAATTCCGCGATACCAGGTGAAAATTGCCAAATTAGAGTCGGATTCCATCTGGGTACGCTTCCTCCCCCTCGAGGTCTTTCATCCACACACAGACGTACTCGAAAAGACTTTAGCTCTTTTATCGGAGACAATGGGTCACTAGCGTCACTTAGAGATCTTCTTGGTAATCGAACGCGTTTGGTGCTCTGCTCTTCTAAACTACTTGCACGACAACAGTGCTTCAGAATGCCTACCGGTTTTTTAACCGTTTTATTTCCTTCCATCTTTGGTACAGATTTTGTTTGAGAAATCATTGTCTTCAAATCAAATATTTCATTATCCTTAGCGTCATCTTGTGCGTTTTCTCCATCATCTGGAAGATTGTCAAGTTCATCTTCTGAAAGATCAACTGGTTCTGAGCGACATAATCTACGAAAGGTAACGGATTTTGAGGAAACACTTTCTTCATCTTCTTTGGTAGTAAATACTTCTACCGTATCATTTTTGGAATCTTCGTCTTCTTCTTCTTCTTCAATTTCTAGCGATTTCCTCACGTACATAGGACAGGGTAGTGAAGATCTTCTCAAGTCTTTCGAACTCGCTACACTAGATTCGTGACGAAAGTCTAGATCTACGCTAGTGGAACGAGATCGCCTGCTTTTCAGTAATTCTCCATCAATTTTGTTTTTCCATCCAATTGGTTTAATATCCTGTAATATCTCTCTCACTTCTGTGCATTCGGCATCTAAGTATTTAGACAAAAGTTTGATTCCTGTTTCACCTGAATCCGAGTTAGCTTCGACAGAACCTCCTCTGGATGTTATCGTCAGAGGAGAGGCTTGAAGAGAGCGACTCGTTCTCCTAGTTCTTCCTGCCAAAGCTTCTAATTCACTAGGACTACGGTATATAACAGAAATAATACTTTCGTCACTTTCCACGCTCGTATCACTCTGAAGACTTTGTCCTTTCCACTGGACAACGGATACTGTTTCTTCCACGTCGCTCTTCAAGCTATTCCATCGAGGAGTGCATGAAGGAGATTGATGTTCTTTATTATCATCTGCAGATGAAGAAAACTGTCGTTGGTCGCCATTCATTTTCGGAACGTTGATATCTATGCTTAAACTTCTTTTTACAAAACCATTTCGGAGTAATTTTGATTTTTCGTCTTCAGCCATTTTATCGGAAATGTTAAAATCAGAATTTTCTTCTTGATTCGATTTCCATTCTGAAGAAGTTTTTTCAACTTCATTGAGTTGATTGGCTTCAGCTTTAATCTCAACAGGTTCTTCCATAGTTGATGATTTCGACAAAAAACGTAGTTCAGGCATTGACCAATAGCTGACCAGTCGTTCCTCTTCTTCTTCATCGTGACTAGGTGGAGATTCTGGCATTAACTGCCCATATGTATCGGTGGATTTTTCTACCAAGTTTGAAGTTTGCTCTTGATTAGAAGTCTCCACCAAACTGGGCACATTTGATTCTTCTTTTTCTTCGTCAGTAGGAGAATCGACAGTTTGAGTGGAATTTTGATCCACTATAATGACATTTCCATTGGCAATATCAGAAGAGGTTAGTGAATTTGAGGCTACTACTACTTTTTCTTCTTCACTTCTTTCAAATTCCTCGTATTGAAACATACAGCAAGCGGTGGAACGAGACCTTACGATTCCATTTAATGCAGGTCCAGGCTTTCTTGCATATTCTCTTGGATCACTTGCCGTAGAAACTCTCTTTTCTCGATGCTCTTCTTGATCCACTGGAGATTTTTTCGGTCTTAAGATATTGGGAATTATTTGAAACAAATCTCCTAACGATTTGAATCTGTGAGCCGTAGGACTGAACTCTGTTTGAGCCGGAGCTGGTGGACTAGTATCCATGACAGTTGGTTCCTCTTCTAAATGTCTGAGTTCAATGTGACCATTCTCGCCGGGATCAGAGTCCTGACTATCAGAAAACCAAGAGGTCCTACATTTACGATAAAAATAAGACTGTCTACGAATGTAAGAAGCACCGGGATTCGATAATTTCTGCAAAGCTCTTCGCAAGAAATTATAACAAGTTTCTCCCGAAGATGACATCTCGGTAGTATTCTGATTACAAGGGGCCTCGAAGCTACGTCCTTGATAACGACCCCTGGCATTACTAAATAGCTGCCTTCTCTGAGCTAATCGTTTATTTACTGGTTGAGAAACAGGAGTGCTATTGATATCACTATCAGATGTGTGCGAATAGGCTTGATATATAAGAATATCGTCGTCACTAGTTGTAGTACTTGTCAAGTCTTTTTCTGCCGACGATCCACGATCTAAAAACAGAAAAAAACATAATATTTTACTATAAAGTAGTGTTCTTCAAAAGTTAAATTTTTTATTGTAGTGAATTTTTACAATTAACCCGTTCCCAACCTAAAAAATGTCCATTTTATTTATAAAATATCATAATTTAAGATAAAACAACATAGGAAAATGCCCCAATTAATGCATAAAACAATGAAATAAAGTAAATAATGTAATAAAATTCGGGGGATGAACTGAGTGCAGCTGTGTGTGGGGGAGGGGGTTAGGGATCCGCAACACGAGAAACGTTGACAATTAATTTAGTTAATTGTAATTTTTTAAATATTACAGGAATGACTTTTTATAAAATATTATTACGTGTACGTTCATATTTTAATTACTATTAGGGCAGTCCACTAAAATTCGATTACTTTAGACATGTACCTAATGTCTAATGGACCATCCGGCTCCGACTGTGATGGAATATTCTCATAAATTTCAACTTAAAAAATTATTTAGATGCATAGGAACAATTGTTTACAAATCCTTACACTTGAAAGTTGCAAACAAAAGAAGAAATACGCGAAAAATGACACAAAATAAATTTAAAAAAAAAAGCTTGTTTCTTCTTCTGTATACATTGGTAAATCGGATTTCTTTAAATATGACAGTTTATTTGAAATGTTTAAATGAAATTTTGTTTGCAGATTTAATATTTTTTATATTTATAGAATTTATTACTGATGCATTTATAATTTTATTATCAAATATACTAGAAAAAAATAATTACAAAGAAAAAAAAATGAGTGTAGACGTAATTATGTCATTTCGAATTGTATGTACTGTAGAGTACAATTTGATGTTTTTCTATATGAAAAGTGCATACAGTTTTGTCGTTAAATCTCCAGTAATTCTAGAAATAATTGGAAAGAGAATATTCAAATTATCTTTGGTTTGAAGGATGAAAAGATAGTATTGAAATAGGCTAATCTCACTAAATTCAGTTTGGAAAGATAAATAAATTTTGATTACATACTTCTTTAAATAAAAAAAAATGTAAGGAATTTCTATAAATTCTGGAAATTTATCATAGAGCCACTGTCTTTTTTTTTTTTTTTTTTTTNACTATATACGAACTTCCGATCTAGACAGGAAGTTATTGGCTCAGCTCCGTAATGGTTTGAGAATCCCTTAAAATGAGGGACCACGAAAAGAAAAGAAAACAGCCTTTTTTTTTTTTTTTTTTTTTTACACAGAAGCTAAAAACTTACCATCACTGCTGCTTTTGTCTGGTCGATACCAAGGTACTAGAACGTCTTGAGATTCAAACTAAAAGTAATACCAAAGTCAAATAATTAATTTTTATTATAAATTACAATAGAATAAACAATAAATAACTTACCTTTCTATGCCGTTGTTCCATAGCCCATACAGTTATCATAACTCTACCACCTATCCTCAGGATCCTGGCTAGCTCTTGTAAAGCTTGGATTCTTCTTTCTGTGGTGGCAAAATGATGGACCACGGCCACCGATAATGCGGCATCGAACGATTCGTCTCTAAATGGTAAATGCAGATTATCCGAAATTAGCACTTCGTATCGGCGACGCCTGGCCGTGTGGGTCATAGGAGCGCATCTGTCAGAACCGATTTTGTATACTTCGTGATTAATGTCCAGATATTTTCCATTCCCGCAACCTACAAAAATAAAATAAAATAAAAAAACAAGAAAATAAATCGGAAAAACGAATAAATTCGAAATATATTGACTGTAAGAAGAATGATTCGTCCTTTAACGTAATGATGCCGCGGCTTTCCATTTGATTAAAAACTGAATTTGGCAAGAATTCACGAAATCTGTGTAAACAATTCTACCGATCAAATTCTCCTCTATAAATAATGGAATTTCAGTTTTGGATTTGTTCATTTCGCGCTCTCTCTCTCTCTCTCCCCCCAAAAAATATACTAAATCGATTTGGATTTCCTTCCGGTTTATCATCTATTTACCTAGGATTCAATATGTGTGATAAATTACAAAACTTCAAGCGAATATACAAAGAATACAGCACTCTTTACATCATTCTGTACTCAAAAATATAATCGATGCTAATGCCAGGTAAAGTTCTTTCTTGTTTAAAATATAGAATGTTTACTAGTCTATATGTATGAGCCTATGAATAAATATGAAGCTGTATTTTTTTTAAAGAAAAACACGAGATAAACATTTATTCTTTAAAAAAAACAGTGAAAAATTTGTGTATGTTAACAATTTCTTTTTTTCAAATTGCAGTTTCTTATGAGTTTTCTGTTTCAGCACTGATAAGATGTTGGATGAAGGCCATTATTCTTCAAATATTTTTAAAATTGAATATAAAATAGTCATAAACAGATTATCATTATGATCAAAGTAAAAATTTATCATATCTTCCTGCTGAAGAGGATACAAAATGACATTTTTTTTCCTCCCTCCCTTTTCTTTCAAATACGAGGTAAATACCATCATTACAAGTTCTCATGCATATTATCAAGTAATTAATGACGTAAAAATGTAATTAAGGTAATTAGTATGATTTCTATTTTGATTTTTAATTAATATTTAGCTTATTAATATTATATTTACTTCTTGAAATAAAAAGAAAATTGATATAATTACATGTTATGAATTTATTTAAATAAATTCACGTGAAAGGCTATCGATTAATATTAACGCTTCGTCTGAAAAAAGGAAGAAATGTCATCTGTCTGACCGTAAAAAAATTGTTTTAAATGTCTCGTTACGTTCGACGAGTTTCCGAGTGAACATACTCCCACACATACACACACAAAAAAGCAATTTTAAATAAAATATAAAATAATAAAGTGCAATTTTTCGTGATTTATAAGGGTAAAAAAAACAAGATTAAATATTCATAAACGCTTGCGAACTGTTGGAAATAATTTAAAATAACATATTCTTTTTCATTTGTCGCAATTTAAAATGGTAATTCGCATAAAGAAACTAAATAAAACCGTTTGTAAATTATCAATGCAGGGGCACAGATGATGTCTCTTTGCATTCGTAATAAGACTTTTGATGTATTTTGAGCATTATTGTTTTAAAATACAACGAAGTAAATAGTAATACTTGTAAATTATTATTGTTTTTTCGGGTCGAGAATCTGGCTAAATTACATCAAACATATGTAAAAAGATAAATAAATATAAGACTAAAAAAATTAAAATACATCACACTCTTGCTAATCCGACACACACTAATATTTCCATGAAAACATTAGGCATGTCACATAGCCTTTTTTCCTGTGTACTCGGGTTTCATTTCTGTGTACAACACTAGATGCCACCTACCTCCAAAAAGGTTCACTACCTAAAGGGCGATAGGTCACGCAATTCATTGTCTTTACGCTTAAACACTCGTAGCAATCCGGCACTCTCGCTAATCAGGCAACTCTCTGTGCAAGGAATGGCCGGATTAAAAAGAGTCTAGTGTAAACACGATACAAATACATGCATTGTGTAAGTACAATGCAAGACATTTCAATTAACAGAACCCGTAAACTAATTCTGTGATTTCTAAAAATATTAACCAGTTCTTTGAGAACAGCAATGAGATTTTGAAATAGGATGGAATTAATTATAATTGAAATGATGTCAAATTTAAATTTAAATTAGAATAAAAATCAACATAGAATTTCTGAAGCAGATACGATCATTTCGTACATTAAATAAGTATAAAATTTTGAGTAGAAATCAAATTATTTTATAGAGTCAAAATTTATTTGCATTAGTTTTTTTTTCAAATCTATTCCTGTTGTATACGATTTTTTCTTTTTGGTCAATAACTTGAAACATTTACAAAAGTTCAATGCGTAATACACACCAAAGCGATTTCTCTGTAACCTCCCCACGGAATAAGGAAATAAAATACTTATATGTACAGTACAGTATGATATTCTAACCACGTATTTCTGTCTACTCGGATAGATTTATACGCCTAGACATGGTTATTGTCCAATCAATGTTACGTTCCCCAAGTGGTGTTGATTTTATGTTTGTTTCTCCTGTCTAAATTATACATATAAACTTTTATGACAATAAATAACGATGTAAATATAGCTTATCCAGTATTATCTAAACCAATTCTCTTAAGACCAGGATGATTGTTACCACGATTCTACTCTATTTCTATTTTTCTAACCGCAGTTTAATAAAATACTACTCTTGCCGTATTGAAAATATGCAAGTCTCTAAAAAAAAAGTAATTTCTTTTACAGATAATTTTGTTTTATAATAATTTTTATACTGAAATACAAAACTTATTATTACCACAAGAGATTCTTTACGATGATAGAAGCGTATTCTGGAATACAAAAATTTATTTTATAACGTACAAAAGTCTAAATATCTATGTTTGTGAGAAAGAGACTTTCACACATTTCAACGTATCCGTGCCAAATTTACCATGAATATTCTTCGACACACTAGAAAAAATACTATGGGATCCCACATCCCTCTTAACTTAAGCCCGAGCAAGCGTTAATACCTTGTATAACATTGCCGTTTCATTACTGTAAATACTGAGATCGATAAATGTATGTTTTAGTTACTAAGACCATTGTTTTTATTCCCCTCTCCCAACCAAACCTCATCAATCCTCACTCACTTAAAGCCCGAGCGACACCAAGCAAGCACAGTTATTCTTCAACTCCTTAAAAAAAAAATACCGTACAAGGTACAACCAACACTAAAGTCCACCCCAAAAGTTCGAGCAACGTTATTGTATATATTCATTCCTCTAACCGAATTTTAATTATTCTAAATTAACTCCCAGTTGCAAAAATACCGATAATAACAGAAAAACAGCATAAACATTATTATTTTTTTTATATTTTTTTCTGTATTGACCTCCACGTTGTCAATAAAACAGATGCTTCTAATGTCAGTTGATGACTCTCCGAACATATCTTACTCGAAACTCGAAACTAGGTCACGTTCATTCCCTTATCTATCTTCTCTGATATACCATCGAAATGAGATAATTTTCTAATATTTTCTCATTAAAAAAGTTACATATTTATCAGCGAATCTAAAAAGAAAACAAATATAACTTTAACTAAAATAAATATCTAACAAATATTCCTAATATTGGAAGAACACAGGAGATAAAAAAAATATATATANAAATCTTTCTCTTTAATTAAAAAATACATAAAAATTTCTATGTAAAATACTAAAAAAAAAGTATTTGTAAAAGTGCGCATTATACGCGAATAACATAACTTTTAATAACCGGCATTTTTTAAAAATCACCAGATTTAAATTTATCACTCGAAAGACGATTAAACATTTATCTAGATTATAATTTATTACATATTTTGGTGGTTTTATGGACGTTAACTTTCATTAGTTGGCTTAATTATGGAATGAATGAAGACGTTAAAAATCCATCAAAAATAGATGTTATCTAGCTTTTGCTATACTTTACACCATTTACGACCTACAGGTGCTATCTAATTCAAAGAAAAAATCGCATTATGTATGTCTTTAGGTATTATTAAGAAAGATCCATGTCATAGGCTATCCATTAACGGCCTAAAACATTTTTCATGGTTGTAGATAAGTAAAACTGTTTTTTGCAAGGAAAAAAAGCTAAAATTTTTCTATAATCATCGCATAATGATCCAGTAATCTCCTTCCTTGCAGATAAACTTTCGTTGGTATTTTTATAATGAACGTGAAAAAAATATATATATATATCGTCCAGAAATTGTAAATGACCAAAGTGGGCAAAGCCCTTGATTCCAATGACAAAAATATATAAATATAACGTCATAATTTATAAAGGCGTTTATCGAAGGAGTCACGCGTGCCATTAGATTTTATTTATTTATTTATTTGCTCGATAAAAATGCTTGTAAATTATACCCTTGGGTTAGCTTTATTATATTCTATGTCAAAGAAAGCTTGTATACTAACTTGGAATTTGAAATAAAACACTTTTGTACTGTTAAAAGTAACAAACTGTATGCCCGTTACATACAAAAAAAAATTACTTCCAAGATAGAGAAAAAAGCATACAGAAGTTTTGACTACTTCAATTACAAGTTTGATAAAATAAGATGGAAATAAAAATAAATTTTCGTTTTAAATTTAAATTTCTTCTTCTTCTTCTTCTTCTTTTTTTAAAAAGAAAATAAGTTTATTTTTAAGGAAAAAAATAATTTAAAAAATACGAAATAATCCCGCTTCTGTTGTAAAACATTAGGCAATTAATTAAAAAATTAATTTTAGATAATTTTAATTGAGGCTTTTAATATTTAATTTGTTAGAGAATGTTAAAAAAAATGGCACTCTGGAGAATCCAGGATCGAATCCGGACAGTCGATAAACCCGAGGAGGAAAGGAGAGGCCACTGTGGGCTTGGCCGAACCAGCGATGGGTAGGGAGAAAGGTCCACTTAGTGCCCACAAAGAACCAAAAATAATACGAAAAATATGAAGAAAATGTTATTTTCAATTATATTAGAAAGTACAGTAATTCTGTAAGCTTTTATGTAATTTCCTTCCATTTTTTTACATGACAATAAACTTGATTCTATTTTTATTTCTTGTCATAAAGCAATTTTAAGCTGTTTTCATACAAAATATATTTAGGAAAAAATAATCTACTTATAAAGTTAATAATGTAAGAAATTCTGAAAGCACTTACAATCTAAAATATGTATTATTGTAATGAGGAGTATTTATGTTTAAAATGCCAATAAATCTAAAAAAGAGATGTACATTTCTTCAAAAAAAAAAAAATATATATATATATATTTGTTCTTTTTTCGACATTTTTTTTATAAATACTAAATTTTAACCGGGTAAATTGTAATTAAATTATTTCTAATTAACTTTGTATGTGAAATATGCAGCAGTTCGGACTCAACCAAATTTTATATGCCGAAGAAAAAATTTAGTTAGAAAATTCATCACTAGGGAACTCGTGGCGCTTCGAGGGACAAAAATTACGTAGCATATGCGTAATTTACACATGCTACGCTCAATTTCTGGGTAAGAAACGGCTAATTCTATTTATTATTTTGTTATTATTTTAAGCAGATAAATCAGATAAATTAAATATTGGACATGGTTTCTTTAGAAGCAATAAAAACACAAAACACAAGACCTAAAGATTGCCAGAGGAAATAAATTCAATAAAAATTAAATGAAATTTTCAACTCACCGATATCGACAACAATGCTTCCCGGTTCCAAGTCCAACAAAAACTGTTTGACCCGAGGCCAAGCTTGATATTTGTTGTCAGTAAAATGCGGTGCTATCTGATCATATACATCGTGAACGTATGCCTTCTCTAATGCAATCGACCGTGCCTGTCTTTCATCTTGTGCGCAACCATCCGATTCCTTCTCAGGCATCCTGGAGGAAAAACATTGGAACGATTTTCACCTATGAGCGGTTCTACATCCTGTCAAATAAGAAATATGTTTAGTTTTTATTGGATAAATTTCTACAATAAATAAATAAATAAATAAATATATATATATATATATATATATACAATTTAATGTTTCGTTATAAATTGATGGAAGAAAGCAATGCAACACTCGGACGATGTGCCAAGAGTGGATATCAAACGGGAGAAATTGCTACAGGAAATTGGACTATGTATAGGTGTAGAAAGCCCGAAAAATTCTTCTCAAATACGAACCCACGTCTGTAGATTCTATTTTTAAGTGGAAGTGTTCAATTCCAACTGCGTGTGCCCAGCGGTTTTATCCATTCGGCAACTATGGGCGCATTATATATAGCTTTCGTCACGGTTTATAAACAAAGCCATTTTTGATAATAGTTAGCGACCACAGAGAAGTGGTCGCAAAGAATAAATTCTTTTTTCTCTGTGGTCGCTAACCGGGCCTGTCTCGTATTCGGGCAGGCCCGCAACGGGGCCTAACATATAATCCATTAAAAATTTCCTGGGATTCTTGGCACCTTTACCATTTCAAGTACTATTTTAACGAGAAATTATTTATTGTGATATCGTTACAATGTCGGGTTTCAATTTTTAATCATATTTTAATTTATTTAATTTAAAATATATGCTCTCGATTTTAGTAGTGTCTTGCCCTGTACGTCATACTTTTCCTGTTAACAAGAGTCATGCCTGGCATCTAACTTCGTACTAAAGAAAATTTTTGAATTGAAATAACGTAATTTTCAGTTCAAACCAGAAGTTCGTATATAGTTAATCGGGGCCTTCTACCAATAAGCTTTCCATATCTAGTCACGATTTTAATTTATTTAATTCTTCGCTCGAGATTAAGGAAGGACAGACATAGAGAGCGGATACCAAGGAAATTTATAGGTCTGTAATTTGAAAATTGTAGCCCAACAATAAATAATTATTGCAATCGATGTAATTCAAATTAAATTTTATAGTGTTACGTGTGTCCTCTATTATATTACGTTAAAAAACAAAGCAATAACAAGACAGCAAGGATAACCAAATGGCAAATGTTACAAGAATGCGCATAAAAGAACAACAAAAAGAACAATTAGATAAAAGAGATTGGTCAGAAGAGAACGAAAGAAAATATTATGTCAAACAAAAAATATTTATTTGTAAAAAAAGATTATTATATATCAAAAGATTTCGGCAGACGGAAAGTGCCAAGTTGTCTAGCGACGAAGTTAATAAGGAGCAATAAAGCTAAGGAGATAAGAAAAAACAGAAGGAAAATAAACAAGAGAGATAAAACATGTGATGAACAAACGTTAGGAAACCATTAAGAGTAAAAATGGAATTTAATCAAAAGAAAACGAGATATGTCAGGGAAAAAACTTCTAAATTAATGTACTTAATGAGGAATGGAGTTTTTGTAGAGTTTCTCGTTTGTAATTATCACGTTTAATTAACGTAATTAAAAGATTTAGGATGTTTAAATAATCTGACTAATAAAAATTCTTTCGTGTCCAAAATAATTTTGTGCTTATTTATTTGTAAAAAACTGTGACAATACTTTTTCATCGTTCACATCCTATTTATCCTTAATGAGATGAAAGTTTCATCTCATAATGTAAATTGATGCTGTATTATGTAAATAATCTATATTCGCTTAGAAATATTCAGAAAATATAATAAATATTTTCTAAATACTCGTTACGAAAAGGGGTGAGCCGGGGTCCGTTCCGGAGCCTATGGGCATTAGGGGGCCCATTTCAGGGAAAACATTAAAAAATTGTTCGTTTTCTGATCATTTTTTTTCCAAATAATAAAATAACTTTGGCCATAGGCTAATATTTATACTAGGTTATCTTTTTACTTCGATATCATTACGTTATTTGCATAAGCAGATCTCAGAAAGGGAGCCCAAAATAGTATTTGTACCGGCAATTTTCTGCACTATTAGGACCCTGTCTGAATATTTTAAACAATGGAAATTGTTAGCCAAATCATTAATTTACAAGCTAAAACTTTTATTTTATTTTGAGGTGTTTGGAGAATCTGAATTCATAACTGATCCTTGTCCTCTCGATTGCACGAGTAATTTCTCTTTGTTCTCTAGCTTTCGTTCTATGTTGACCAACATCGATGCGGGTCAGACTAATCCATTTTGGACAAATTCAGGACGACAATAAATTCTGCAAAGAGCTGTATGTTTTGGAGATTAATCAAATGAATCCGAAAACTAGATCAAATTACACGAATGAGTGAACTAGACGTTTCATACAATTGTACATTCGAGGAAACAACACGAAAATGGGAAATTCCAAACGAGAAATATTCTTCTGACTTTTTGTTTAAGATTTATTTAATGTTTAATACGTAAAATAGCGTGAAAAATATTGTATTTTGTGTGCCAAGCACTTTAAAGAATATGTTAATACCATATAAAATATCCCCCCGAATTGGAGTTCATAGAAATTTTTATAAGGAAAGTATTTTAATGGACTATTAATAATTGCTTATTATAATATTCTTTTAGGAACACTGAATTATAAATGATTATAAACAGTAACAGAGATTCATTTATGTTTGTAGCTTCAGAACTCTCTCGGCTTTTAAGGCCCTATACCGAAAAAAATTATTTTATTATAATATTGGTATTTAGCTAACTTAATTATTATAATATTTTTCATCTTATCTATCAATTTTTTTCACTTCCGAAATAAACGTTATTCGTACTATATTTAGTTTGTCTGTCTGTATACGCCCATGCGACATATGGGCGAACTGCCGAGGAAGAATGCATCCCAGGAGAACTTTCTATGGTGGAACTGGCCCATATTTAAGCTTTACAAACGTAAAGAAAATCAGAAAACTCCACGTGGCCAGACCGTTGGCGAGGTGCGAACTCATGACTATGAACCAGTGTTCATTTCTCCGCTGGTAGCCCATATTATATTTAGAGTAAATCTTTTCTGGTGGTATCCTAAATTACTTTTAGCCCACGATCTGCAGCTGTATTATAAACAGACTCGGCCTTAGCAACTGCGAGGCCCGATTAAAATCTTTAAGAAACAGCAATTAAATAAACACTAAACAATTAAAAAAAGTACACTGCACGCATGCTGCTATATCTTCTCACAAAATAAGATAATATCTTCCCTCTGAAGAGGTTTCCTTTAACCATTTCAACCATTTAGCGAGGGTTAAGAGGCCCTCCCGCGGGGCCCTTTAGCCCACCCAAAACACTCTTTCGATAAGTGATATTTCTACCTGCAACGTATAAAAAAGGTAAACATTTAAAAATTATTATTAAAAATAAAAAATGAGGTACTTTTTTTAAAAGTTTCTCCCCTAAAATTAATTCTCTAGACGATTAAGAAACAATTTCTTAATTGTTTCTTAATTGTCTAGCGCATTAAATGTTTCTTAATTAAATTTCTTGTGAAGTGAATTAAATGCTTCTTAATTAATGCATTGTGTAGTATACACTTAATATACTTCTATATTTAACTGTTTACTGCAAAAGTTTGCAGAATTATCGGCAATTTAATTATGAGTTATTTCCGAATTTTTCTTCCCGGTTTAATATCTATAGCAACTTTTATGATTTTTCATTCTTATAAACACTTTCTGAGTCGTAATAAGGCTGAAATTTTCAAATTGCAGATCTATACGTTCCCACTGTTGTCTGTCTTCTTATCTATCCTTCCTTAATCTCAAGAACGGAGTTATATAGACAAAAATCGAGACAAGATATGGAAAGCTTAGGTACGGGAGGCTCTAAATAACTATATACGAACTTCCGATCTAGACAGGAAGTTATTGGCTCAGCTCCGTAATGGTTTGAGAATCCCTTAAAATGAGGGACCACGAAAAGAAAAGAAAACAGCCTCATCTGGACTGCAGAAGAAGAGAGGATCACTGTAGTTTTCAGTGTGCAACTTGTATATAATTGTGAATAAAGAACTAAACATTATAGTAAGGTGTCTTTCGAACGAACCGTAACATTATATTCGAAGTGGAAAGAAGGACTTGAACTCGGGACATCTCACTACTCCGTTATGAACCTTACTGGCTCAGTCGACAGGATCACATGTTGCTTGCGGAAGCATTTTAGAGGTCAAATTATGGTTGGACGTTGAACACATCGTTCATAGCCTTCAGGTTTTATACCTTTCATCTTCAGAAATGTTCTCTTTATAGCATGAGTGTCTTGTACTAATAAAATATCTGTTGCTTGCAGAGCCAAAAGTGTCATTTAGTAATGAGTTTTGATACTAATTTTTAAGGAAACCCCTTATGAATGTCCTGAAATGTCACCATACCAAATTTTGTTATATTTGAACTGCTAAATATCTCTCTAAACAGCATTAAATATAGATATTTTAATTTCGATTACTCGATGACCCGTATTGATTTGATTGATTATTTGATTTAATACAAGTAATGTGATTTACAGAAACCAATGAAATTCATTACGACCTTAGTTTCATCTTTCAATAATATTATATTGTTTCAGTTTACTTGTATGTACTGTATATTACATAAAAACACACATTTTCAGCCATTATTACAACAATAAATTAAACGACACGCCCGAAGACCACACATTAAAAATAAGCACTGTGGGGAAGTCATGATTTATTATACAGTATTTGATTGATGCATCCAGTGTTTCATTGTTGTTTGAACATAAAGGTGTGCGGTAAAAAACCCGCTTCGACCCAGGAACTCGTTCAGTGGATGGTCTCAACGAAGGATTAAGTACCTTGTGATGCATGCCGTTACTCACATAACTTGAGACCAGATACCCAGAATGTGTCTGATACAATGCAAATTTATCAATTTAATACACGTGATAAGAAACGATTTGGAAGAAAATAAATACTAAAAAGGTTCGTTTCTGATATCTTTTTGAAAATAATCGCGTTATTATTCATTGTGACATCGTCACAATGCCGGGCTGCAATTTTTCGTCACAATGCTCGCAATTTTAGATCCCCTGTACATCATACTTT